CCCCCGCGGTCGCGGTAGGCGCAGGCCCTGGTCAGCGCGTCCCTGGGCAGATGGCAGGACGTCCGCCCACACATCGTCGCCGCGCTCGCCCTGCAATCAGCAAGCACAGGGAGGGGAGCGCTCCCGGGCCTCCGACGCTGGGGCTTTTTCTTGTGTTTTTTTGCACAGGGTCTCGCTATGCATTCAGGCTGGCCTCGACTGGCGGCGATCCTCTAGCCTCAGATGCCTGTGCTGGGATCCGATCCGCAGCACCGCCGCGACTCTCTGGAAACTTCCCAGAGCTCCCGCCTGGCAGGGTTTGCTCGTGTTGCTCCCCACCTCGGGGCCCGGTCCGGCAACACGCGAGCCGCGGAAGTGGAAAGCAGGGTCCCCGACCGACTCCAAGTGGCCGACTCCAAGCTCGGACCCTGTGGCACGGGAGCCCGCGCCCCGGCCCGGTGGTGGCTCAATCCACCCCACTTCCGGTCCCGCTCGGTCTGGGGGGTGAAGAGCGGCTCGACCCACGTGAGGGCGCGGACGGCCCCAAGGCCCCGGCCCCAGTGCCCCTTCCCGCTACCTCGAGAAACCCGGCCTTGAACTGAGCGCCGCGCGCGCGAGCGGAGCGTCGTCTCACCTTTTCTCAGCCGGGGAGCCAGCCTAGTGTCGCCTCCCTCACTATGGGGGTGTGCTCTCAACCCTGCCAATCTCGCTCAGGCGCCAGGCCCGGCCCCGGGATAGGCCCCGCCCCCAAGCGGCGCGGCCCCTCGGGGCTGAGGGCCTTCCGGAAGTACCCGAGACAGCGCCTGAAGGGACGCGTGGCCGGGAGCGTCTCAGACTGGCGAGGTTAACACCCCCACCCCCCACCCCTCGCTGGCTCCTGGGCACCCTGCTTTCTCAATTTCAACCCACGTGGATGTTCAGGGTGGGCCAACTGGAGAAAAGGGGAAACTGCTGGCCCATACCAGTGGCCTAAACCATTGAGCACCAGAGCGAGACCTTCGGCTCTCCCATGCTGGCAAACAATCCCAATGTCCTAGGGCTGACCCTGCATATGTACCGGTACCGGAGTGGAATCCTAGGGCCTCTGCAGAGCTGCCTCATCTTTTTATTATTTTGAGCCAGGGTCCCACCAGATTGAACTTGGGATCCTCCTGACCGCGACGAGGCTCCCGCTTTAGAAACAGGCACTTCCGGTGTATTTGGGCCACTCCTGGCTTGCCACTCACTGGACCCAACTAACGGAGCAGAAACCCGGGCATTAACCCCCGACCACTGGGACCCCCATTTATCATTTACAGAGGACGGCCGTGAAGGCACCCGAGGGGCTGGGTCCTGGGCAGGGCTGTGGGTGTAGAGGGGACAGGAGCGGGAAGGTGGAGCCCCAAGGATGAGCCTGCTGAAGAAGATGTCAGTCCATAAATACATGCTTGTTTATTATATAGGGAGGGGATATGTTTCTTTGGGGATAAATTCAAGAAGAGGTATGAACTTTATTCATTTGTGATGTCTCTTCCCTCACAGGCAAGACAGCATGATCTAGGAAAACCTAAAATAATCCTGTTTTAAAAAGCTACCTTCCAGCAGTTCTGAATGAGGGTACAGAATTCAAAACAAAAGCCATAATGATTCGTCTGTGTCTGAATACAGAAGCTGGGGAAGGGGTTTCCACCAGACTCGTGCTAAAGAAAGGCGAGACTTCTGCATAGTGTTGGGGAGGAGGATGGGCCTCTGTGGGGGCCTCTTAGCCCACAGATGCCAAGATGATGTCGACTGGCAACTCCTCTGAACTTTGGGCTGTCACCTGCATTGTCACTGTGTCCAAAAGCAGCAGCCACGAGCGCACGAGGATGTCATGACCACCCCGGAGCCCGCCTGGCAGGGAAGAGAGAGATAAGGCTGTGTGAGGCAGAAGGGCTGCAGGCCTGGCTGAGGCTGCTGTTTGCAACAGCTGATGAAGGCAGCACTGGAGAGCAGTGGGGTGAGGTCCCCAAGCTGGGCCTACGCAAGCCACTTGGCTTCAATGAGCCCCAGGATTTGCAACCACAGAGTGGAGGGAATAAGGATACCATTGTTCAGCTCCTGCCTAGCTCAAATGAATTCATGGAACGTTTAAGGCTGGTGCCTGATATGACAGAGGCGCTCACACAGGGATAGTCCCACCAAGACAAACTGCACAGCAGGTGGCTGCAGGGCCCAGGGGACCAAGCTGCTTCAATGTGTCCAGAAAGGATGGGGGTGGAGGCTGTCAGCTGTAAGCAGACATCCGCCCAACCCTGAGTATAAACACTCAGCCAAATTTTAAAAAGTCCCATTTCCTTACACTAAGTGTTATACGTATAACTATTCACACAGCATCGTTATCTCAAAGAGAAGTGCAGATGCTGAAATATTCACATGTGAAATGCTGGCGGGTGAGTGCAGGTGCTGCTAATGTGGAGGCTGGGGGATGAACTCTGGGGTTCGTTACACTCTTCCATCTTTGTGTACATCTGAAGATTTCTCAGCGGAGATGCTTGAATGCCCATTGATGGTGCTGGAGATCCAACTCAGGGCCTCCCACATGCTAAGTAGCCGCTGTACCGCTAAGCTCAATCCCTGGCCCCAAATGCCTATTGTTAGAAAAGAGCAACCAGGGCTGGAGATTTAGCTCAGTGGTTCCGGTGCCTGACTCAAAAGTGCAAGGTTCTGAGTTCAATCTCCAGTCCCCCCAAAAAAATTAATTAAAAAAAAAAAAGAGCAACCAGAATTGGCTGTGGTGCCACATGCCTGTAATCCCAGCACTTGGGAAGCAGAGGCAGGAGGATTGCCATGACTTTGAGGCCAGCCTGGGCTACACAGCGAGATTCTTATCTCCAAACAAACAAACAAAAAGAGTAACCATGCCAATAGACACTCAGACAAGGAAAAGTAGGCATACCACTGAACAAGAAATACAAATGGAAGATGGCTAACTTCATTCCAAACAGAAGAAATGGACATTAAAACTACACGAAGATAACATTTTTCACCCATACCGGCAAAAGTCATAAAGTTTGATGCTATCTTCTGTTGTCCCCAGTGTCGAAGGAAAGGCATATGATTCTTAAGGACAACTGGGAATTATTTACCAAAAGGAGAAATGTCAATCACTTTGACCCAGTCATGTCCTGGGAAATTTAACACAGATACTCTCAGTGTGCACATATGAAATAAGTGTGAGTGATTAGTCGTAGCATCATTGGCGATAACAAAAAATTGGTAACAACTAAATGTCCATCACTAGGGGGCAATTCCATGAGATACAGTACATCTATACAATGGGTTACTGGGCTGTCATAAAAAGGGATTAGGGATTCATGCAGTTTGGGATAATGAAAAAGTTCTGGAGATGGATCCTGGTGATGGTAACACAACAGTGTGAAAGTACCTAATGCACTAAATTGTACACTTAAAAATAGTAAATTTTTTTAGCCAGGTGTGGTGGCACACGCCTGTAATCGCAGCAGTCTGGGAGGCTGAGGCAGGTGGATTACAAGTTCAAGTCCAGCCTGGACAACTTAGCAACTTAGTGAGACCCTGTTTTAAAATATATATAAAGGGAGCCAGGGATTTAGCTCAGAGGTTCCACTGCCTGCCTCGAAAGCCCAAGGTCCCGAGTTCAATGCCCAGTACCAAAAAAACCAAACCAAAACAAAAAATAAAATATACATAAAGGGCTAGGGATATAGCTCAGTGCAAGGGCCCTGGGCTCAATCCCCAGTAACACCCTCCAAAAAAATTTACATTTTTTCTTTTTTCCTTTTTGTGGTACTGGTTATTGAACCTTTTCACTGAACTATATCCCCAGCCCTTTTTGTGTATTTTTAAATTTTGACGGCCGGAGATGTAGCTCAGTTGTTCCGCCACCTGCCTCGCAAGCGCAAGGACCCGAATTCGATCCCTGGTACCAAAAAAACAAAAAGTATGATCCTCTTGCCTCACCTTCCCAGAAGGATGGGATTGCAGGCATGCACCACCATGCCTAGCTTGTTATATATATTTAACCATAATTAAGAGGTGAAAGAATAAGAAAGCTCTACATATTGACAAGGATCGTCCCCAGGCACACTATAAAGTGAAAAAGTCAAGTGCAGAACAATGTATACCATTTATACATCTGAATTTCACAATGGAAATGTATTCCTATTAACTTCTTTTTGCAGTTATGGGGATGGAACCCAGGCCTCACACATGAGGCAATCACTCTATTACTGAGCTAACCCACAGCTCTTTTTATTTATTTTTTGGTACCAGGGATCGAACTTGGGACCTTGTGCTTGCAAGACAGGCAGTGGAACCACTGAGCTAAAGCCCCGGTCCCAGCTTTTTTTATTTTGAGACATGGTCTTGATAATTTGCCCGGGCTGGGCAGACACTTTCAGTCCGCCTGCCTCAGCCTCCCAAGTAGCTGAGATTACAGCTTCCTGTATTTTTATAGCCATAAAATGACCAGATGATACACAGGCAGTTTATAACAGTGTCACCTGCTAGATGGGTGGCAACAAAGGTAGGGAAGGGGGACATCTTGTCACAGGTCTCTTTTTATACTTTGTGAATTTTTTCCCCTTTTTTTATGGTACTGGATTTTTTTTTTTCTGTACCAGGGATCAAACTCAGAACCTTGCGTTTACAAGGCAGGCGTGGTGCCACTGAGCTAAATCCCCAGGCCTTTTGTGGTACTGGATTTTGAACCCAGGGTCTCTGCACTGAGTCACATTCCCAGCCCATATCTTGAAACAAGGTCTCACTAAGTTGCCCAGGTGGGACTTGAACTTGCAATCCTCCTGCCTTGGCCTCCAAGTCTAGGATTCCAAGTGTGCAAGATTTAGAAGCAGTGGACCCTGACTCCTCGTGTCCCCAGTGGGGTCCCCAGCCCTCCCCCTGGAAGTGCTGCTCACCTGCCAGGAGCAGTGTGTGTGTGTTCTTGTTGTCTGGCACTTTGTCTGACCTCTCACACGCATGCATTCCCAAGAACTTCACAATGTTGCCCACAGCCTCTGTTGGACAAAACAGCAGAGTTCAGCCAAGTAGCTTGTTTTTGTGGCACTGGAGACCAAACCCAGGGCCTGTGTGGGCCTCTCAGTCCTAAATCTTGTACCCGGGCGCTGAAGGCTCAGGGAAGTGGCCCTGCTCAGGCAGGAAGGAGAGGAGGCCGTCAGCAGCCCGAGGGTCTGGAAGGCAGGTGGTGGAGACAGCAGCTGGGCCCTTACCTTCCAGCGTCTTGATGGTGGATAGCGTGAATGTCTCCTCCTTTTCAAACTCGTCCCCCACCTCATCCCAGGCAGCTTCAAAGTTCACTTTCATGACCTTCTGGATGTGATCAGCCACATTGACCTCCAGGTCCTCCAGCTGGGAAGAAGGTGGAGTCAGACACTATTTCTTTTTTCTTTAGTTCTTTTATTGGTACATTTTAGGTATACAATTCATTTACATTTATCATTGGGTGTTTGTACCTGTACATGATGTATCTTG